TAATTGCATGGTGGGAATCTACCTATGCTCTGCTCATTACATTAATGGTGTCGTGAGGATGTGAATGACCAATGCTTGAGTATAGACCAAAATAATATTTTCATAGACATTATCGCATCTACCATTTTATTGAAAGAAATCCATAAATTTGACACATTCGTCAGAAATATGTCCATACTTTTGAATTGTGAATACCTCAATAAAAAAACGGAATGTGCTTTTGACGTCGATGACTTTAGAGTAAATACTGACAATTCCGTGAAAAAAAAATTGAAAGTATTTACAGTTCTAGTCCTTTTTGTATTAGATTTCTGAAAACAACAGAAACAATTCATGTCGAAATACACTATTCAAAGGAAAAAACATATATTATAAAAAAGTATTTTTCAATATATTCATCACCAAATATTTGCCATTTTGTCCTTTATGGATCGAATCATCATTGTTTGATAGTAAATCAGTCAGTAATTTAATAACAAACACGATTCTTGCAAAAATTCAAAGTGCTCGAAATCCATTAGGAAGTTAAGAGAGGACGTTTTATCATTGAAAATTGAATGCGATTTGGGAATTGAAAAGTATCGAATAACAAAATACAAGGATCCCAAGAGAAGGGATCTCAAGAAAGTTGGATGCGCAAATCTAAAAAAAAATCTAGCATCACTTTGATACTAGATTTTTAAGAAATCAGACCAGATAAAGAATTAGCTCAGCGTGCATACTGCGGCCACAGAATACTTGGGGAAAAAACTTCTTGGGTGAAATGCGGTCAGTGTGAGCGTTGGTTTCATCAATTATATAATAACTCATATTCTTCACTGAAATTCATATGTAAAATATGTGAGGTCAACATTTCATTAAATGAGGAAGTGTGAACAATTTTTGAGAAACCTATCTTTGTCAGAAGTTCAGATGAAACAGCTGGAAAAAGTGACACGAACTCAGATGGTATGTGCACAATAGTTTGAAAAACGAAAAATACGGTTAACCGCAAATTTGCAAACTAAGAAATATAATATCATACCCATATATGATATCAAACATAAACTCTGGAAAACAAATGAATACAAAGGCAACAAAACACGGCATTGATTATGAACAAGAGGCAATCGCTTTTTATATAAAAGAGACCTACTCAACATATCTACAATCTGGACTCATTATCCATAGACAATTTCCTTTCATAGCTGGTTCTCCAGACGGGGGCTCATTGATACAGATGGTGTTCTAGAAGTGAAGTGTACTTATAATTCGCGAGATGTTGAACCTTTTCTCCATAAACTAAATTTTTTTAAAGACAATTATTCTATAAAATCTGTGCATAACTACACCTGTATCAAAATGAAGGACTTCTGGAAAACGCAGATAGATCATGGTATGATTTGGTAATTTTCACTTTCACTAAAATAAAAATCGTGAGAGTCTATAGATCAACACAATTCTGGGAAATGATGTTTATGAAGTTGAAGGATTTTCATTATTTTCATATGTTACCTCAACTGGTATTGCCGGAAAGGAATTTATCACCCACCGAGTAGAAATGGACTACAACGGAACTAGTAAGTTTTTTGGAAAACGGAATTGTGTCCGATATGAATTATTATAAACAGCTCAGCGACAATCATGACTAGATACATAGTAACATCAATTTTTCAATGAAATATTCAACTTTTAACGGAGGAGAATGGCTGAGTAGTTCAATAGTAAATCATTGTTTGCATATTTTCAATTCGGAACAGAAATACCAGATAATTTCAGTAGTCAAATTTTCAATAATTTTTGGTGAAGAAGTTTTGACAACAAATTTCGTAGACTTTGTAAATTTTCATTAAAATACAGTAATATTTTCAGTTACGATTCACCATCACTTTATTTTATCGAAAGTATCTTTTTCCGAAAAAACAATTACGCTTTTAATATTGTCTTTGATTGAAACCACTTGAAAGTCAAAATCGGACTTACATATTGTATTACAATATATAATACAAAAGGACACCTACAAATCAAAGAGACAAGATTTCTTCTAAGAGAATTTTCAAAATCAAATTTGATAAATTTCCATTCTATTCCAGTATTTAACAACCCTACATCTTTTGCATTCCATGAAAATTTTTTATTTTCAGTCCGTTTTTCCTAACAATAAATTTTATTGATAGAATTTTTCTTCTTCACAAGTCTCCATGTAACCCCCTGTTAATTATTATTCTTACCTGAAATGTATGAGATTTTTTTATATCTGGTCGAATGACCGATTTTTCATAATTTTTTGAAATTCGATTTTCAAAGAGTCAAAAACAATACTTTATTTATATTATTATCCAAGCAACTAATTCAAATCAACGTCAATATAAATTAGTCCAGGAATTCAAACAGCAACACCCCCTTCGAAGGCCGGACAAATTTTCTGCTTCTCATTGTATAATTCCATTATTGAATTCGATTTTTCTTACTATATATGAAGTTATGGTAACAGCATTTCTCGTTCTAGAATTTCCAATTCATTATTGAATTTATATTTTCGTTTCATCCCCTCGAACGACCGATCTTATCCTGAGATGAATTATTGTGACAGGATTTTTCTTTCTACGTGATTAGATGTATTTTTGAATTTTTATTCTTATTTGACCACCTTCGACAAGCGGTTTCATTTTGTGATTTTCACAGATAATTATTATGTTCGAATTCGATTTTTTCAACATGATATTATTCTGACACGATTTTTTCTTCTTGTGAGTTTCGACTCTTATTTGTATTTTTGTCCCCATTCGACCCCTTCCGGCGGGCGGTCTAATCTTGTGATTTTCACAGATTGATGTTATGATCGAATTCGATTTTTCCACCATGGAGTTATTTTGACAGGATTTTTCATTCTTTGAGTTTCGATTTATTATTGTATTTATATTTCCATTTCACCCCTTTCGACCGGCGGTCTTCTTTTGTTATTTGTACAGATAATCATTATGATCGAATTCGATTCTTCCAACATGAAATTATTTCGATAGGATTTTTACTTCTACGAATTTCAATTCATTTTTGTATTCATATCCCCATTTCATCCCTCTCGACTGGCGGTCATTCATTTTTGTTTGAAAGTGGTCGACAATGTTTCGTGATGTTTTTCATTAGTTCGTATTTCCATTGTCTAATCCCTACTATTCGTATCTCTATCTCTTCCCACTAATATTATAAATGCGAATGTAAGTTTGTTTGTTACGGTTTCACGCGAAAACTACTTAATCGATCATTATGAAATTTCGTGCACATATTTTTGAAGGTATTAGAAGTAATATAGGATACTTTTGATAAAAAAAAAATATGTAAGATAAAAAATTGTTTGTCAAAAAAATCTCAAAATATAGCTAACGTCATATAGTTCTCATATTGATTCATTTATGTTGTCCTGGCACTTATTTAATGGCATAAATGCGACTGAAGCCATGGGTAAAAGCTAGTATGATATAAATTGATTAGAAATCCCTGAAAGAATCTATAAAAAAATAAATGGATCAGGTGAAAAAAACAATTATATCAAGCAGAATACCTGAAATTACAATGGAATAAAATACAAGCAACAATAAAAAAATTTAACTATTAACTCGAGATGAAAATTGAAAAATTATTAACAAAACATAAAATCACAATCTATTATAACTGTAATAATAGTTATCACAGTTATAACAATTATCACAGTTAACAGTTATTATGATTCAACTCGATTTTTTTCACATGGAATTATCTCAATAGGATTTTTCCTTCTATGAGTTTCGATTCTGTATAAAAAAATCTGTTTTTCCGTTAATCCGTTAACTTATTATTATTATCCGTTAATTTATCATTATTATCATACCCCCATTTCATTCCTTTCGAAAGGCGGTCTCATCTTGTAATTCTCACAGATTAATATTATGATGGAATTTGATTTTTCCAACATGAAATTATTGTGACAGAATTTTTTCTCATATAAATTTAGATTAATTTTTTATTTATATTCCTATTTGACCCCGTTTGACGGTTGGTCTTATCCTTTGTATTCCACAGTATAATACCATTAATAATTAAACATTTTGCAACATCAAGTGATGGTGATACAATTTTTACTTCTTTGGGATTATATTTATTTTTGAATTTATATTCTCATTTGGTACCCTTAGACGAGCTGTATCTTCTTTTGATTCTCACAGTACAATATCATTTTCAAATTCAATTTTGCTTACATAAAATTATGCTGATCGGATTTTTCCTTCTATGAGTTTCGATTTAGTATTGAATTTTCATCCCCATTTGACCTCCTTCGATAGCTGGTCTCATCTTGTAATTCTCATTATATTCCCTATTATAATCGAATTCGATTCTTTTAAATTATGCTGATTTCCTTTCTGCTGGTCTCATGTGCTGCGTCTGATAACAATAAATATCTTCAGTGATAGATAATTTTTAACAAATGTACTCATATCCTATTAATAATTAATTAGTAAGAGTTGTCTGAGTGTTCGTTCAGCGACAATAATAGAGCTACTAATCATTTTAATCTTTTGAATGTTTATTTCTTCCTATAAATTTTTCAACGAACGTCTATGTGCGCTCGGGTGTTTTCGGGATTTTGGCTGTCACCTTTTAGCTGCTAAGTTCACAACGGTGTGTCTTACACTTACGGCGAAACATTCTAGTGTCTACTAGTAGAACTAACAGGTCGCTAATTTCAAAACAAAACCAATTCTCAACGAAAAGATCAGTTAGGTAGGGGCATAAGCCAGATCGTTTTGTTTTCATTAATTTCCCGACTTTCACAAATTGATGATGTATGTGTATTTTTTTGTTAATGTCACAACTGTTTTTGCGACTCTCAAACCTAGTTCTGGTCGACCGTAGACATAAGATCTTTAAACATATGCGAACGCGAACCGACAATCAAGCATGTGAAAACGTGTGAGGGAAGGGGAATAGCGATTTGAATCTCAGCTCTCGGTATACATATATGTTTATCAAGCATGTTATGATCTGTCATATTCGATTGTTCACACCCCGCGTTCACATCAGTCACTATGTGAATAATTCAAATAACAAAAATTGTGAATTGTATTCCAGAATTCTAATCTTTTGTGTTAATAATAATTATTATTTTTGGTTATTGCTGTAGTATTTCAATAAGATAACTATTGTGACATTTGTGTTTTTAATAAGGTGAGTTTTCTGATAGTCTCCAAAGGATGGTATTGACTGAAAATAATTTTACTGTTTTTAAACGTTCCGTTGTCCTAATTTAGAACGGGCATCAACAAATTTGTATTTTTAGAATGCCCTCCTGATTTAATTTATCTCGTTATTTGTACACTATAGAGAACTTATATATAATAAGTTGAACAATTTCTCAGCTTACTTTTTCGAAATGGATAATTCAATGAGTAATATTGTTCTTGTGATGCACTGTTTGGAACCTTTGGTGTAATAGTGAATATTACTGAAATAACAAACGGGAAAAACCAAAAATGCTGTTTTTCGTTTTTTTCGAATGGAATTTTTATTTCGGAGAATATCCAAAAATGGAAAAAAAATATCATGGTATTCGAAGTGTACCATGATGATGTAATAATAAATATTAAATAAAACATTTCGTGTCAACATGTTCACCTTCAACTTTTTTTTTTGAATACGGACCTGTCTTTTTTATTACAGATTTTGATGAAGCGATAAATTCACAATCCAAGGGTATATCACATTTTGAATTTTTATAGCGTTTCATTTGAAATAACCACCATCATCAGTGACAACAATAAAACGGAAAAACAATTCATTATATCATGAAAAATAAAACCAATACAAAAAATCAGAGCTACATGGCAATCTATTTGTTGAATGCACATAAGTTGTCGGTCCAGATAATTTCCAGAAATGCATCTCATATTTTTTGTTTTAGATGGTCGATATCTGTAGCTGGTGTTAAAAAAAGTTCATCATGTATGTACCTTCAAACAAAAAAAATCCAGAGGAGTGAGATCTGGGAATCGATCTGGCCAGTTATTTGGACCATTGTTTCCAATCCATTTTCTTGGAAATATTAAATCTTAATGTGCCCTTACTAACTATTGCTGCGTTATATGGGTTATATGGGGAGGAGCGCTGTCATGTTGAAAATATTGTATTTCATGGCGGATATTCAGTGGAAATTCATCTGAGTAGCCATTGAATTTATTGAATAGAAAATGAAGATACATTTCATTATTCAAATGATCATCGTAAAAGAAAGGACCAAGGATATCCATATTATTTTTTTACAAATATTTCCAACTTCCCTATTCCTACGTCTTAACCACTTCGCAAATCGTACTCTCCTTCCGTAATCGCTTTCATTGTGATGATGAGGTTTGCGTATCCTGTAGCATTTATATTTTTGTTTCACAATAGTTCTGGTGGATTTTACAGAAATCCCCATTTCGTGGGTGATTTCTCGTAAAGAACAATCTTGATTGGCATAATTTTTGTGACTGGCCAACCCAACATAATAAAAAAAGTTTTTACTGTGTAAATTTTTATGTGATAATATTTACTTTCTAATCGTCTGAACATTTGGATGCGGAATACCATAATGCGGAATACATATTCCTTGACAAAAGAGGATTTCTATTCGATTTTTCATAACTAAATATCATATCAGTCCTTTCATTATTTGAATACATCTTTAACATGTTCATGAACGGCTGACATTCCTCAACAGATATCAACAACGCATTAATTTTTCCTTTCATAGAAAGCAAGCAAAGCCTATGCGTTCAAGATGGTAAATGAAATGAGAGGCCATTTGATCATACCAAATTGAACAAAAATCGAATTTTGACCAAAAACTGATATTTTGTTACTTCCAGTATTGAGAATTATAAAAATATTAGGAATTATAATTGATCGGGGATAAATAAGCCTTGAAAGAAGGATTGCGGCAATACAAAAATTTCCAAATCGAAAAAGTACCTACGAATTTTCATTGTGTTAGGGAATTTGTTTGGTTATCTGTAATGAATTTTGAAGAAATCGAAACAATTTACGAAAGAAATAATGACAGGACCGTAATTTGGAAATGTTGTAACTGATGATAGTTATGTAGTTATTTCGAATGAAACGCTATAAAAATATCAAATTTGATATACACTTGGATTGCAAATTTATTGCTCCATCAATATCTATAATAAAAAAGACAGGTCCGTATCAAAAAAAATAGTTGATGGTGGCCATGTGGACACGAAACATTTTATCGAATATTTATTATCATATCGTCATAGTACACTCTGAAATAACAATTCCATTCGTAAAATACGAAAAACAGCATATTTTGTTTATCCCCTATAACTCGAGAAGGGCGAGAGTCCACGTAAATTTTCTTCGACCACTGTATTGTTCCCGATGACAGTCACCTTTCTTCCCATTTAATCGTCTTTGTATCTGTTACGGTTTAGAATATAGCAATGTTTCAACATGATAAATTTAACAATTCGTCATTTTGCAGACACTGTTCATCTTAAAAAATCTCTTCCATTCTGAAACCCTACAAAACAAATAAATTTTGCATTCAGAATATTGTAATGACGTCAAATAGACTCATTACATATTATGTTTTCATAAATAAATATACTCCAATTGTAAAAAAATTAAGCTTTCATTGCATACGTTCATGAAATATGCATCCAAAATTGTTGTCAAATTATCAGACGATTATTATTCATTCAAACATAGTCATTATGTTTTTGGTGACCTGCCCTGTTATCTTCAGAAATATTAATGTTTCTTTATCAGTTTTTGTTAAAAAAACAGAAAATCGTAGTCTTATATAAATGTATAATTTTTGACAACCAAGTCAACTTGGCAAGTTGTTGACACCCAAGTCAACTTGGCAAGTTGACTTGGGTGTCACACCAATAGGTGGTTCCACTTATGTTTTGCTTGCGTTTACGCAGCTATTTTTATCAAGTACTTTCTTGGTTTTTCTCATTTTGTCTTCAATCGAGGACCGCCTGCCCGGTACTGACGATGCCCATGGGTGTCACACCAATAGGTGGTTCCACTTATTTTAAATGGATTTAATCTCCGGCGATTCAAATCCAATGTGAATCACTACTTTCGCACAGGCACCGCTCTAAGGGCGCTTCAAGGATTTTTCTGCATTGCATGTATTTTGTCCTTAAAAAAAGAATATTTTTGAAGGTGTCGCTTCGCCCTATAGCACTTTATCATTAGCAGCAAAAACACGCGTTTTATGTATATTTTGTATCAGCATTGCACCCGTGCAGTGCCAGGGTTGACTGCTAGTTTCAAAATAAAACTTCTTCCTTTATTTTTCTTTCTTTTTTCCTATTAATTTTTCAACGAACGTCTTTGTGCGCTCAGGTGTTTTCGGGATTTTGGCTGTCACCTTTTAGCTGCTAAGTTCACACCGGTGTGTCTTATGCTTACGGCGAAACATTCGAGTGTCTGCCAGTGAAACTAGCAGGTCGCTAGCTCAAAACAATTCAATTCGATTCAATTCAATTTATTTGGAATATGTTAATATACAATTTATTAATATTATGGTTAGGACCACTAGGAGTTTGAGTAAAGCAGCCTAAGCGCAGGTGGATTGTAATGTTCTTCCGTCTGTCTCCCCATGGAAGTACTTTGAAAATATATCAGGCACAAAAGTAATAAAAGATTAAATAAATGTTGCAGTTGTATTAGTGAATAGACAGAGGAAGCTGGTATATTTTATGAGAATGAGTACCTATAATCATCTATATATACATCTAGGTTTACATAATATTGGAAATAGGTACACATACACTGAAAGACACATTGGAAGATTAGAAAATGTACTGAGTGATATTTCTGGGTTATTGGGTATGTTTGAATAAACCGTTTATACGGGTATTATTTACAATCATGAATTCTTTTGTATTTTTGTTATACTTTAAAAATGTAGTAATTATCTTTATTTTAAGGGGAAGCATGTTATACAGTTTTGGATCAAAATAGTAGACTGAACGTTGGGTATGACTTTTTTTGATATCTATTGATATCAATGGATACATTATGTACATTTCTGGTGTACTTTGTATTTGCCTTAGAATATTTGATATTGTTTGAGTATATCCATATAAGAGACTGGTGTGCATACACACTTCTTATATCAAGCAGATTAGTTTCAGAACAGAGTTTTTCTGTATCAAATTGTCTGTTTTTTTTCAACATTATTTTTAAAACTGTATTCTGGAGCACCTGTACAATATTTAGCACATTCTCAAACATTCCACCCCACACTGTGATACAATATCGTATAACTGACTCAACAAGAGATTTATAAACAATTATTAAGCTTATTTTTGTGAGTATATCCCTGAGTTCATACATTTTATAGCTAAGATGTCTTAGTCTTTTAACTATATATTGCAAATGTTCATCTCATCTCAGATGTTGATCCATTACAACTCCTAAATACTTCAGTTTAGTTACTTTTTAAATATATGGACATTCACAAATGGTTTAACAACACTGGCATATGTAAATACATACATCCTTTGTTGGACAGGTTGGTGGTTGCTCAGAAGAGTGAAAGTAATAAATTTCGATTTTTCAACATTAAGGTTGAGAAGATTGTTACTTAACCAAATTTGTATTTTACCCAAACACTCTTCTTCTACTCTAAATACCTGTTGCCATGTATCACCTGAACAGATAATTGCAGTATCGTCAGCATATGATATGAGGTGCCCTTTGAAATTATTTATGCGACTTAAACTAATAATATATGCTAAAAATAGTATTGGGCCTAAAACGGTACCTTGAGGTACACCACCAGAGATTTTTGCCAGTTCACTAACATTGTTACCAAGTTTGACCCGTTGAGTTCTACAAGAAAGATAATCTGTAAAAACATTATTTGCTGGTCCTCGTATTCCATATAAATTCAGTTTATTTAAGAGTGCTTCAAGAGAAATTTTATCAAAGGCCTTGGCCAAATCAAGAGAAATTGCAAAACACTTTTTTGAATTTGAAAGGGCATCCGATGCCTTAGACAATTCAAAAAAACCAATTCTCAACCAATAGATCAGTTTATTAGGGGCAGAAGCCAGATCGTTTTGTTTTCATTAGTTTCCCGACTTTCACAAATTGACGCATGTGTATTTTTCTTTCAAGTCATAATTTTGCTCGCGAAGACCAAT